CACAGCGGTTTCCTCCAGCGAAAATCTAGCCCTCAACACATATGAACGTATAATTTATAAAACGATCATGTTGCTATTTTCATTTGAAAATGTAATATTTAATATAAAACATATTACAGTGCATGTGGCATACCATACAGTCATTCACAGAACAGAACAAAGACAGTGACAGACAGCACTCAGTCAATTCACTAATTTTAACTAAATATTAGAGTGATTGACAGAGATACAGTAGAAACATTGTGTGGTTTTGTATTAAATACTGTTTTTTATTAAATAATGACCCAAATAATGATTGTGAAATACATTTATTAGCCTTAGAGTAAGGGAAGCACAACTCGAGAAATGAGAGCATCCGAGGAGCATGTGAATGCTATGCAAATTTATTTTAAATATTTGTAATGTTCTTTAATGTTATCCATCGTTTTTATTGAGCCTCTTTTTTTTCATTTATTTTTTTTAAGTATCGGTTCAGGCACCGTTTAGGTACCGGTATCAATTTGGCACCAGTGTGACTAGAGGGGCGGGGCCGAGAGCCGTGGGAACGGAGCGAGGCCGGTGGAGTAAATGCTAATGCGTGACACCTGCGCCACTCACCGGTCTCGAGTCCCACGGAGGAGCTCCGGAAGGACAAAAGGAGGAGTGACGACAGTGTTGGATGAGAGAGGACCAGGCCTGGATTTTATTTTGTGTTTTGTGTTTGTTTTGTGAACGGCAGTCGTCCGTGAAGGGCTGTCGCACTATTTTGTGTTTATTTTATTATTAAAGTTTTGTTTGAATGTTCGCCGGTTCCCGCCTCCTCCTCCATGACCTACGAATGTTGTTACATTGGTGCCAAAACCAGGGAGGAAGGAGGGACACGCTGCCAGAGATCCCTTGCCGCTGTGGTGAATCCGCGGTGCCATCAAGCATGGCGGAGCAGTCTGCCACCATGGACACCGGAGGTGGTGGGCTGGAGTGAGTTGCCGGAGGGGCGGACGAACTCGCTGCCGGCCACCTGGGATGTGGAGGGACGGCCACCGCCGTTTGCCTGAGGCCGGAGCCTGCTGCCATCCGCCATGATGGGGAGGAGCAGGGAACGGGG